CGGGAAGGCTCTGGGCGGGCTGGGCTGCGAGGGGCAGGCCCTGCCCCCAGTGCCCTCCTGCCCCGGACCCGCTCCCTCGCACGGGAACAGGGCGTCCGGTTGTGCTCCCCCTCGGCAGAAGGGGGGAGAGCAGCACACCGGGGCGGGTGCACCGGAACGGTCGGGGGCTTCAGCACACGGTGGACAAGAAGAAGCTGAAGCATTTGTTCAGCTTGAACAAAGAGAAAGCTAAGGGGAATCCACTGGTTTTAGCTACCTAGAGAAGGTTTTAGAGAAAATAGAGCCAAACTCAGAACACAACGAAGAAAAAGCAGCCCTACACTGTAGCTTCCATTTCCGCTATCGCAGATTATTTCACTTTAGTCCTATTCCTACTTTTCTAAATCCAAATATCAAGCAAAACCCTTTTTCAGTTGGAAAAAGAAACTGAAAATAGAATTTTCAGTTAAAAATGTTCAGTTTAAATAAAATTAAATCAACATCCTATTTATTGAATAAGAAGATACAAAGCTCTGATCCCCAGGACATGGGTGAGGTCAAATGGTAGGAGGTAATTTTCTTGCTCACATCCCATTGTTTTCTTTCAGCCTATCCAGCATAGAAGATCTTACTCAGACCTTTTTCCAGCTGCCTGTTTTTCCTTCTGTATCTGTCTTTTTTCTCCTTTTCTAAACTGCTTCGCTAACACTGCACCACTATCCAAAACACTAAGGAAGAAAGCCCTCTGTCCACATAGTTTTAATTCTTCAGTAGAGTCACAGACGTGTTTGTAGCTAATACGCGTGGGTTTTTATAGTTTAAGATTACATTATTTTGTATGCTTAACACAAATCAAACAGTTTTAAACATGGTTTAATTGACCTGAACACTGCAAACGAGGGACCTTTCCCCTCTTTCTGTGTCTTCTCATAATTAAATTTGAAGAGAAGAAACAGCAGAGATCCCACAGTTACTGTTTCTTGATTTCTCTTTTCACAGATTGAGAAACTGAAGCAGGGGCTGATTGATCTGAAAGAGCAAGCGCAAGAAGAGAAGAAGCTGGTGAATGAACTTTTATCTTTGTCCCACTGGATCTTCCGAGCAGGCTGAAAAGTCGTCCTGATTTTAGTATGAGGAACAAGCTAGGGCAGTTAACTGTTAAAGGTTTTGATGCAAAACTATTGCATGAAGAAAGAACTTGAAAAAGCCAGTGGTGATGTGGGAGTTATCCCATGACTCTGCAGTATAATTTCAGATAGTAGTAGGAATATTTTATAGCATCTGAAATAGTATTAGGAACCAGCTGGGTAACGGTGAGGCCAGAGGCACAGCAAGATCATGTTTCATTTTTATCGAGATAAACAATAACTACTTTGAATTCTTTTATAGTTCTCCTTCATTCACTACTGTTGAACCAAGAATTCTTAAAAGAACTGAGAAAATGATTGTTTGTTAATCTGGCTTCAATAAGAAGCACAGAACTGTGCTCATCTGCACTTTAAGACAGTTATCTCCCATCAAGCAGACTCTGCAAGGAACTTTCTCTCACCCTCAGATTATAAAGAGCAGAAAAGGCTATAGATGATAGCTGTGGTGGGTTGACTTTGGCCAGATGCCAGGTGCCCACCAAGCTGCTCTGTTACTCCCCTTCTCAACTGGACAGGGGAGAGAAAAAAATAAGACAAAAGGCTCATGAGTCGAGATACGGACAGGGGGAGCACTCAGCAATTACCATCACAGGCAAAACAGACTCAACTCAGGGAAATTAATTTAATTTATTACCAATCAAATCAGAGTAGGATAATGAGAAATAAAATCAAATCTTAACACACCTTCCCCCAACCCCTCTCTTCTTGCCAGGCTCAACTTCAATCCCAAGTTCTCTACCTCCTCCCACCCCGAGCAGTGCAGGGGGATGGGGAATGGGGATTGCGGTCAGTTCATCACACGTTGTCTCTGCCGCCCCTTCCTCCTCACACTCTTCCCCTGCTCCAGCGTGGAGTCCCTCCCACGGGAGACAGTCCTCCACGAACTTCTCCAACATGGGTCCTTCCCACGGGCTGCAGTTCTTCACAAACTGCTCCAGCCTGGGTCCCTTACACGGGGTGCAGTCCTCCAGGAACAGACTGCTCCAGCGTGGGTCCCTTGCGGGGTCACAAGCCCTGCCAGCAAACCTGCTACAGCGCGGGCTCCTCTCTCCATGTGTCTGCAGGTCCTGCCAGGAGCCTGTTCCAGCATGGGCTTGCCACGTGGCCACAGCCTCCTTCGGGCATCCACCTGCTCCAGCGTGGGGTCCTCCATGGGCTGCAGGTGGATATCTGCTCCACTGTGGACCTCCATGGGGTGCAGGGGGACAGCCTGCCTCACCAAGGT